CCCCCCTCTCTGGGGACAAAGAAAGGGCCCCATACTCTCGCTGAGGCCTTTGGGCAAACCAGATACATCATCATGGCCTAAGACGTGGAGGCCCAGGACCCTCTAAACGTGCCTGCTCCGGAGTCGCACAAACCTCTGCCTATTAACTCTTTCAGAGAGCGTTTGTCGGCTGTGAAAGCCGTCTGAGTTCATTGATTAAAAAAAAAAAAAGGTATTGTCTTTAGGGCTGCTGAATATATTAATGAGTTGTCACAGAGGGCAGTTGGGATTTGCAAAGGGCTACACTTACCGTTCACCTACTTGTTGCCTTAAAAGATAAAATAATGTTCACATGAAGACAGAGCTTTCAGGCACCTCCGCCAGAACACGCTTCATCGGAGGCGCCGGCAGGATTCTCCTCTTCCTAAAACCCCAAAGAGTTAAGCCGAAGTGGTGAATATGGCTGTGTCTGCCCCCTCCTCCCGTATTCTAATGTATGAACCCGCTCATTCACATGTGAGTGGGGCTGGGGGACAGCTTGCCTTCCCTGGGCAATTGTGTATGGCCCCCGCTGAAATGTGCCTAAAAACACGATTTTGTAAACGCTTATGCTCCACTAGACATCCCGTGCGTCTAAGTCCTTGTCACCCAGTGTCCCGAGTGGGGTTCACTTTGTCTCTTCACACCCAGGGACTCTCAGCCCGAGGTGAGGAAAAGGAAGGGGGGTTATTAAGAATTCTGACAAGGTAGGCTGAATAAATTGTGTTTTCTTTGTGAGCCTTAATCCGGTGTTGTATTGGCTTCTTGGACATGGCTAATTTATTTGGAATTTCATTCTGTTCCTGACAGCGTCCTTGACTAGCTGTTTGATCACCCCGAGCAAAGCTACATACCAGCTTTCAGCCGTCGGGAGGGCAGCGGCCTCCTCTTTCTCAAGTACCTTCTCCTGGGTCGGGCTTTATGGCTGCAGCAGGACGTCTCAACCGGCTGGGGCCATCCCTTGTTAGGGAGAGAAACCGCCTGGGCAGGGGTCTCCCTCAATGAGGAAGCCCTCCACTTCCCCCCACTCGTCCCACTGTTCGTGATTTTAATCTGCTTTTGTGGCGCAGGAAGAAAGAAAATTAATTTTCACCCGTCTGTGTGTAGGGAGCATTTCAGTGGAAACCCGGTTTGAAATGCATGTTCTGTTGATTTCGGCGGCCTGCGCCGGCTGGGTTTTGAGATGCTGCGTTCTCAGGGGGAGAGGTGTCTGGCTGCAGGCCTTCACGGGGTACGACCTCAGACTCCCCATGGGCCCTGGACAGGGTCCTCGTGTCCTGTGCTCCATCTTGGCAGAAGTAAGAGTTGAGGATGTTGATGCTTTCCCAACTCACCCATCTCCGTGATGGTTACCTTGTTTTTTTTTTTTTTTGGTTAAAGCAAACATATTTACTTTTGCAAAAAAGAAACAAAGAAAAAAAAATAATGATTTTCAACAGGACCCTGACATGTCTGGGAATGCCTCACTATCCACAAGGTTGTAGCTGATGGTCATATAATTTTGGCGGGATCTGCTCTAAGGAAAACATGCACTTCCTTGAATTTGGCCTCCCCGCCCTGATGCATGTGGCCGTCCTTGCTGAGAGTCTTCTAGGTGCCTGGAATTGTGCAAATCCTGGGGGCTTCGGTGAGAGTTTGAGTTCTGGAAACACGTGGAAGAGTGCAGAGGATGTTGCTGCTATGAAAATAACCAAAAAAACCCAAGCAACCCACGGAAGCCCCGGGGCATGCCCAGTGGTCCCTGGGGGAGCGCGTTCAGTGGTGGTCCTGCACTGGAGTCAAGTTCAGCTCATCTCTGTGACATTTGGGCAGGGATTTCCCCTCAAAACACTCTCATCCCCAGCCGTGCTTGCAGAAGCTGGGGAGCGATTATTATCCCCTCACTTTTTTTTTTATTTGAGACAGGGTCTTTCCCTGTTGCCCAGGCTGGGGTGCAGTGGCTCGACCATGGCTCACTCAACCTCTGCCTCTCAGGTTCAGGCGAGCCTCCCGCCTCAGCCTCCTAGCTAGCTGGGACTACGGGTGTAGGCCACCACACCCAGCTAATTTTTGTATTTTTTTTTTTTTTTTTTAAGAGATGGGGTTTTGTCTTGTTGCCCAGGTTGGCCTCGAACTCCTGAACCTTCTCACCTCAGCCTCCCAAAGTGCTGGGATTATTTTCCCCTTTTACAAATGAGGAAACTGAGGCCCAGTGATGATTCAGTGGAGACCAGAGTGCCTGGGGCTCATGGGAAGCTGCTCATGGGGTTCTTGGGGCTCTGTCCCTGGCTGTCACCTGTGCTGAGGGCTGGTCTGGGGTGGGGACCAGGCTTTGGGGGTGAGAACTTGCACCTCCTTGTTGCTTCCACCCCAGGCCCTTCCCACGGAGCTCACCTGTTGGAGAGGGTTTCCTCTGCCAGGCATTTTGTCAGGAAACCGTGAGGTAGGGCGCGTCACTCACTGCTGTATCGACGTTGAACAGTTGGGTGCAGGAAGATGCCTTGGCTGTTTGAGGTCCTGATGGTAACTTCCATCCCCTGATCCATCCTCAGAGGCCCAGGGCTGGGAGCCCCCACCGCTCAGCTCCACGCACTCCAGGCGTTCCCATTGGCGGGGTCTGGTCTGCGCCCGTGGGTCCCTCGTCATGCTCATCCTGGATTATATTCATAGGTGGATGATTCATGGGGAGTGTGACCGGGAATCACGAAAGGGAGGAGCAGGGAGGGCAAGATAAAGGGGAGCAGGCTGGGAAGGGGGTGACTCCAGGCACAGCCGCAAGTCCCTGGGATTTTCAGGGGGAGCTCGGGCTCACAGTGGCCTCTAGTTTGTCCTGGCCCAAAGCAGGGACCTGGGCTTTGTCCTGACCTGGTAAGTCTTAGGTTCAGGGCTGCCTGTGGGAGGGAACTTCTCGGGCCTTTGGGTCTCTGTGCGTCGGGGTGGCTCCGGTGGCCCAGGACGCCCTGGAGAAGAGTCCTGGTGGAAGCCAAAATGCAGGGTGGCATCTGGTGAGGCACAGGAGCGGGCGGAGGCTCTGACCACAGGTCTCGGCCACAACCACACGCTGCTGATGGTGGGAGGACTTGGGGAGTTTCCCCTGGGAACGAGAGGTTTCCCAGTAGCCATGCTGCAGTGCCCGCTGTGTCTGTGGGTGCTCATGGTCACTCACATTTTCCCTGTGGCTCCCGGCTACTTTATCCAGCAAGCAGCCCGCTCTCGGGAGAAGCTGGGCCTGGATGCCCCAGGCGGAGGCAGCTCCCTTCCTCCCACAAAGGGCACACTGTCCTTGTCCTCACTGACTCCCAGAGGTCCAGGGACGTCTGGGGGTGGGGGCCTCCTTGACCCCTGCGTGTGGGCAACAGGTGACTGGGGCGTGGTTAACTCTGTGCGTGTCCAATTGGGTGCTTGGCAAACACAGAGAGTTTTGTCCAAGGCCACCTCGTCCCCACTTGTCCAGGTCGAGAGGGGCCCTGCCTCATGTGGCCTGAGCTGAGTGAGCACCTCCGGCCTGAGCAGACGGCCCTGGCTCCCCCAGGACACGTCATCTGGAGAGGTGGCCCTCTCAGGTAAGGGACATGCCCGCTGACAGCAGCCTCTGCCCTCTCCCTGCGTGCACAGCTGCTCCCATCTGGGGACCCTCACCCCATGGGCAGATGGGCTTCCAGAGGAAGTTGGCAGGACTTTCCCTGGCCTTCTGGAAGGCCTGATCCAGCAAATGCTCTATTGGGTGACTCACTTCATAATGGGGTCCGGAGAACTAACTCCCCACCCATCTTTGAAGTGATCTTCAGACCTGTGTGCGTGGAAAATAAGCCCAGAGCTAAATGTTCCCTGAGAGAGTGGCCTTTGACAGAGGCCCTGGGCAGGCCAGCAGGTGCAGGGGACACCACATAGTGAGGAGGGGCCAGCCAGGCATGCTTCCCAGACGGCCTCTGCCAGTCCTTGCTGGGCTCCAGGACGGCTGGAGGAAGGCAGCTTAGGCCGTGCCCAGCCCATGTGAGTGAGATTGCGTTCTACTTCCTGTTTGAACCTTCTGGACAGGCTTGGCAGGGAGGACACTCATTTTGTAGACAGGGAAGAAACTGAAGACTGGCTTCCGGCAACTGGTGATGGGTCCCAGAGCCCTGCAGCCAGGAGGCCAGCGTTGCTGCTCTCCGGCTCAGGCTGGACATTTCCTGGTGAGAACTGGCTGGACTCCCAGGACCCAGCCACCAGAGACCTCTATTCCTCATGCTTACCCCCCCAGCTCCAACGGGGGCCCCTTTGCTCTGTGGGATGTGGGCTTGGACTTAGAGGGGGCAATGCCTGCAGTTTCTCTCTCACCCACAGAAACTTGGCTGTGAGAGGCCAGAGGGGGACTTCAGGGGCAGAGCCTGTAGAGGTCAAGGTGTCCTTATTGTGTGTGCACACATGTGAGTTTGTACACGCATGTGCATATGTGTGTGTGTGTGCGTGTGTGGCAGGAGGAGAAGGCTGGGCAGACACTGTTATTTCGGAAATGATGCAGAGGCCTTTCTGCAGGCACCCGCTGAGGAGAGCCCGGGGCCAGGGTCTCCGTGTGCAAGCGCTGGGCTTGGCCCCTGAGAAACGCTGTCTCCCCCGCAGTCCTTCAAAGCAGGAGGTATTTGCCTCACTTTCCAACGCAGAATCTGCAGCTCTGAGAGGTTGTGCAGCTTGCCAGAGGCCATTCAGCTAGTGGAACGCGGGACTGGTGTCAGGCCCAGGGTCACTGGGGGGATGTCAGGGGACCCCAGGCCTGTGTGCTGCAGCTTAGGGCTATGGGTCCCATCTCAGACTTCTTAGTGGGGGCTGGTGGGGGTGAGCTGGAGGGAGGTGCTGTCTGGAGCCCACTGGTCCCCTTGCTGGGGCGAAGCAGGTTTCCCGCGCTGACCCGCTGCCATCAGAGGCGGGGCGCTGACCCTGCGCTGCTGAGCTGTGTTTGGGACTGTGGCCGCCTGTCCTCATCTTCTCCCCCTCTCTCCTTGGCTTTTCATGCACAGGCTCCGTCCTCCTTCCCTGCAGTGGCCCCAGCCTCCCCGCCAAGCTTCCTGGCCCCCGCCCCATCCTGGGCCGGCTGCCGCGGAGACCGTGGGCCGGCGCTGGACGGTGCGGCCTCCAGAAGTGATAGCTAATTGGGGAGAGAAAGGGCCCAATTGTCTGGTGGGGCCGGAAGAGCCGCGTGGGCTGCTGAAAGCGCCGGGAGGAGGTGGCCGCTTCGCCCAGCAGCTGCCGCCGGGGATGTTTGCAGATTACGTCAGTGCTGGCGAGCAGGGGGCGCGGGGACAGCGAGGGGGGCGGGCTCCCGGCGGCCTCCCGCCCCCCAGGCCCCTGGACAATGCTGTCATTGTCGGCACAGAGAGTGGTTAATTCTGGATGAATGGTACACGGGCCTCTTGACCAAGGAGGCCGCTCGCCGCCCCCGTCTGTCCCCTCACATGCCAGGGAGGCCCCGGGCTGGAGTCTGGCGGGCAGGGCTGGCCTGCTTGGTGGCACCGGAGAGAAGCGGGTGGTCCCTTGGGGGTGCCGGCTGCAGAGGCCCCCGGCTGGACGGAGCTTCCTGACCTGGGGCTGCACGGCGGCCACTTGGCAGCGCCGGGGCCCCACCTCATCTTGGTTCGAGGACAGAGGCCTCTGCTGCTCCGTGGGGCCAACCTCGGGCATGACCTCCTGGCCAGGTGGCAGCTCGGGCCCCGACCCGCTCCTGGCCCTGCTGGTGGTGATCCTGCTAGCACGCCTCATCCTGTGGTCCTGCCTTGGGACCTACATCGACCACAGACTGGCCCAGCGGCAGCCCCGGAGACCCAAGCAGGACTAGGCCTTGACAGGCTGTGGCCTCCACGTGCCCTGCACTCAGCAGACCCTTCTGGTGGTGGTGGGAGGGAGGGGAGCAGGGCAGGCTCATGATCCCCACGTCCCACCCCCGGGGTGGGAGCTCAGTGAGGCCTGAGATGGACCGTGCCTGCCCAGACCGACCAGGGCTGTCCCACAGAGGCGACCAGCCACGTGATGAGATGGAAGAGCTGGCCTTGTGGGTCCCTTAGCAGGTTCTGGGGTCCCCGGTTGCAGGGGGTGGTCCTGGGGGTGGGTCTTGCTTTAAGATCTTCTCTGCCTCCAATTTCTTATAAGTATGCCTGCAGGAGTTGCTGGGTGAGCCAGGGGACTCAGATGGAGGGGCCACAGACAAAGGTGAGAGTGGAGGGCCAAAGCCAGCCCTGCGGCCCAAGGCCACATCCTGCCTCAGCTCACCACCATCATGACCACTCTCCTCCTGCCTCCTGAGGGACAAGACAAGTGCGGGTGGCTGTGATGGTTTCCCCAGAGCGGACCCCTGGGAGGGTCTCGAGACACACGCGTGAGGCTGAGTTCAAGTCTGGCTCTGGTTGACCCTCTGCACACTCTCCAACAGTCCAAAGCTCAGTGAGGGCACAATGATCCCTGCCTCCCTCCCTCAGCAGGACATCACGTGTGGGACGCTTTAGGGGACAAGCCTAGGGACCGGCCAATGCCCTCTGTTCATCTGTCCTTGCACATGTGTGGATGGGAGGTACCAGGAAGGCCGATGGGGCGTGGAAGTTGATTTGAGGCCAAGCACCCGTGCCCCTGCCCCCACTCCCCAGCACATTAGCTGTGATGCGAGCCACTTAACCCACAGCTTGTGGAAGCTCCGTGGTTCTCATGCCGGCTCCACATTACAGCCTCTGGCGGGGAGTTTGGCAAACACCCATGTCCAAGCTCCATGATGTACTTCCTGGGATTGTTCCAGCAGATTCTGGATTGCGGCAAGGGCTGCTGACTTTGCATGGAACAGTGAGATGGAAAGGACCACGGTCGGCAGCCCCAGGGAGGAGCATTGAACCAGATACCGTTCCTGCGAGGTGGGACCTGGTGATGCGGCTGCGTCTTGCTCCTTGCTTAGTGATGGGCATGGTGGGAACGCTCCCTCTGGGAACGTGGGCCAAGTCTTCTGAGCACGAAGTTCACAGAGGAGGTGATTCCTGAGAATTCTGAAAGGACTTGGGAGCGTCCAGCAAGAGCAGGAGCTTAGGTTGTCATTCCAGGGCTGGTGTTGCTGACTGGGGTGAATGGCCCCCCCCGGGGTGGGCATGGAGCGGGCCGCTGGCTGGGAGCCCCTGCCTTGCTGTATCCTGGCTGAATGACCCCAGGGGAGGGCCAGAAACGCCCTTATCGCTGTTTCTGTGGCACCTGATACACTCACCTACGCCAAGAAAATTTTTTTTTTGGCTTCCGCAGGACCCTCTGTGTGCAGATCCTCTGTTCAAGAGAGCTGCAGAGATGGGGGTGCTGGCGAGCAGGAGCTGAGACTGGCTGGGGTGGGACCGACCAAGAGTTTGAGGGTGGGGTGGTGTCCAGGGGGCCATGTGAGGATGACCTATCGCAGAGGCTCCCTTCTCATTCATACCCTGAAGTCTGCACAGGGCAGGGGCTACGGTGCTCCATTTCCATTTGGCCTCTGTCGTGTCAGCCAGAGGCCAGCCGAACTCTACGGCCACTCCCCTGCGTCACGGACAATTCGCCGCCACCACCGCGGCCTAGGGCTCTGCCTGGATATTCTCGCCTGATCACAGGACTGCGGGGAGGGATGATCTCATTGATCTCTAAGGAAAATACCGTTTGAGCTGGAGAAGCGCTCTCTTGTACATTTTATGGATCTCTTCAAGGAAGAAAAATCACCTTCATTGTCATGAACATGTACCGATGGAGCTGGGATGGCCAGCTGTTCTGGGCACCCCAGGGCTGTCTTGGTTTTAAAATGGAAAGTCCCATGTCCTGGGAAACCCCTTAGTCCTGGTCACGTGGGATGGAGGGAGTCAGAAGTTCCTACAATGTGCCCGTGCCTTGCCAGTTGTTGCGTTTTGTGTAAACCTGTGTGTGGCCTGCGTGTCCACATGGGTGGGTAGGATGGCACCTACGCACATACCTGAGGTCACCTTTTGGTCCAGTGAGCCAGAATCCTGGGACTTCTTTTTTTTGAGATGGAATCTCATGCTTTTGCCCAGGCTGGAGTGCAGTGGTGCGATCTGGGCTCACTGCAACCTCTGCCTCCCGGGCTCAAGCTGTTCTCCTTCCTCAGCCTCCTGAGTAGTTGGGACTACAGGCATGTGCCACCACGGCCTGATGATTTTTGTTTTTTTAGTAGAGATGGGATTTCACCATATTGGCCAGGCTGGTCTTGAACTCCTGACCTCAAGTGATCCACCTGGCTTGGCTTCCCAGTATACTGGGATTACAGGCGTGAGCCACCACACCCGGCCTCAGACTCCTGGGACTTCTGTTGGAGCCAGGGGTCAGGACAGACTCCTCTACCGGGGCTGCCTGGCAGGGGACAGAAGCGGCCCCCCGAGAACACAGTGACCTGGAAAGATGGTGGAAGGGAGGATTCTGCCAACCTTCTCTGACACCCTATCTCAGTTGCACTGGTCCATAATTTCTTTTTTTTTTTTTTTTTTAACCAGTTTTTTTTTATTATTGTGGTAAAATATACATAGTATAATATTTATATTTTTCTTCAATTATTTTTATTGCATTTTAAGCTTTGGGGTACATGTAAAGAACATGCAAGATTGTTGCCTAGGTACACACATGGCAGTGTGATGTGCTGTCTTCCTCCCCATCACCTATATCTGGCCCATAATTTCTTTTCTTTTTCTTTCTTTTTTTTTTTTCAAAGACCGGGTTTCACCATGTTAGCCAGGCTGGTCTTGAACTCCTGACCTCAGGTGATCCGCCCACCTCGGCTTCCCAAAGTGCTGAGATTATAGGCGTGAGCCACCGCACCTGGCTTCTTTTTCTTAAGCCAATTTCGTTGGTTTCTGTTCCCGGAAACACACAATTCTGACAAATTCATGTATTCTGCATCCACGGGTCAGCATCTCCAGCCTCGTGACGCAGTTCCCGGCTCCGAATAGGCACTCAGGCCATGGCGACCGACTGAACAAGAGGGAGGGTGTGCCCTGGCCGCGTCTCAGGCGGCAGCTGCATTCAGCTGCGGGTAACAGACAGGTAGACAAACAGTGGCTTAAAAAACAGAAGCTTTAGCAACATTTTGTTTTTCTTTCTTCATGTAGCCAGAAGTCTGGCATTTGGCATTCCCAGGCTGCGGTGTGGCAGCTTCGTGATGTTCTCAGGGTCTCAGACCCTGCCATAGTTCTGCCCTGCCATCCTTAGCGCATAGCTTTGATCTTCATGGCCACAAGAAAACTGCTGCGACTCCAAGCATCTTACATGAGTTCCAGGCAGGAAGAGAAAGGAATGCAACCCAGATACCCTTAGTTTTCCATCTCATAAGCCAGAATGATGTCATGTGGCCTCCCTGGGGGCACAGGAGGCCAAGAGATGGTGGGGTTTGTTAGCTGGTCTCATTGCCATCCTGAATGCAAAGTTTCAGTTATAAAGAAACAGAGGCAAAATGGCCATTAGCAGGCAACTGGAGGTCTCTGCCATGGGCCGCCTGGCCATTCTTTGTATAGGTCGTATTTGTCTTGGGCTGTATTCTGGATATTTGGGCATCTTTTGTGGTGCCCTTATGTGCTGGTTTTGCTGTTGTCTGCCCTTCAGGAATAGCGGCTGCACCAAGCTGTCCTTGGCTGCTCCAACCTGGAGTCAAAGGTTGGCGATTTCCATGGCTCCCCATGGCTCCTGGGGGCCTCCTAAGGAAATGTTTTAATAAGGAAGTCCAAGGCTGAGACAGACACACTCCTTTTTAGAGACACATGGGAACGTGCTTCTGCTCACAGCTGGTAGCCACAGATGCAAACTGCAGCCCATGGAACGGAGACAGTGGAGAGCTGATGGATAAATGAATGATGATCATGGACAGCAGATGCATAAAAGGCATAAAAGGCTAGTGTTAGGGCCAGAACCCATCCCCCCAGTTCAAATGTTGAACCTCCAACGCCTAATACTGCAGAATGAGACTATATTTGAAGATATGTTCTTCACAGAGGTAATTAAGTTAAAATAAGTTCATCAGGGTGAGCCCTGATCCAAAGGATGGATGTCCTAATCAGAGGAGGAGATTAGGACCCAGATACACACACACACACACACACACACACACACACACACACACACACACAGAGAGAGAGAGAGAGAGAGAGAGNAGATACACACACACACACACACACACACACACACACACACACACACACACACAGAGAGAGAGAGAGAGAGAGAGAGAGAGAGAGAGAGCCAGGTGAGGACACAAGGAGAAGACGGCCATGTCCAAGCCAAGGCGAGAGGACTCAGGAAGAGACAGTCCTGTGGACCCCTTGGTCTCAGACTCCTGCCTCCAGGACTGTGAGAACATAAATGTCTGCTGTTTGAGCCACCCTGCCTGCAAGCACTCAGCAAGCATTCACTGATGGCTTGCAGTATTCAAGGCACCACGGATACAATGTGGAATAAGACAGAGCACCTGCCCCCAGGTAGCTTACAGTCGGGGAGGTAAAGGGTAGCCAGCAGAGAGACCTGGGAACAGGTGTTAGGCCTGCACTAGGCATGTGTGGTTATTGGACAGTAAAACTGTGGCCATCACAAATTGCGATACGATGTAAATAAAATACATACTGACTCTCGAAGACTTGGCACAGAAAAATAATGTAAAATCTCATTAGCAATGGTTTTATATTGATTATGCATTGAAATGATACTGTTTTGGGCGCATTGGGTTAAATAAAATATTTAATTTGATTTCACCTATTTCATTTTTATGTTTTATTGGACATGATATTTTATTTTACATTTAACATTTATTTTAGGTTCAGTGGTACATGTGCAGGTTTGTTATATAGGTAAAATCATGTCAGGGGGGTTTGCTGTACAGATTATTTGTCACCTGGGCACTAGACTCCGTACCCAAGAGTTATTTTGTTTGATCATCACCCTCCCCCACCTTCCACCCTCAAGTACTCCCCAGTGTTTGTTGTTTCCCTTTATGTGACCATGTGTTCTCATCTTTCAGCCCCCACAAGTGAGAACATGTGCTATTTGGTTTTCTCTTCCTGCGTTCATTTGCTGTGGACAATGGCCTCCAGCTCCACTCATGTTCCTGCAAAGGACAGGATCCCATTCTTTATTATGGCTGCAGAGTATTCCATGGTGTATATGTACCACTTTTTCCTTATCCAGTCTACCATTGATGGGCATTTAGGTAGATTCACATGTTCCTTCTAATAGGTGTTAATATGGCTAATAGGAAATTTAAAATTACATAGGTAGCTTATATTATTTTTATTATGGACAGTGCTGTGCTGGGCCTTCATACTGTAGCAAAAGGGTGGTGGGTGAATGCATGGTGTGCTATAGGAACACACGAGGGAGCTTCCTGGAGGAGGTTCTTTTTTTTTTTTTTTTTTGCTTTTTCCTTTTTTTTTTTTTATAGAGACAGGGTTTCACCATGTTGGCCAGGACAGTTTTGATCTCTTGACCTTGTGATCCGCCTGCCTCGGCCTCCCAAAGTGCTGGGATTACAGGCGCGAGCCACCGCACCCGGCCCTGGAGGAGCTTCTTAACCCATTTGTGCCTGAGGTTGCCGTTTTTTGAATTTTTGCAATCAGACCTTGGTGATGACCTTGAGCAGTAGGATATAAATAACTCCCACATGCTTAGCGTTCCAATAATGGAACACTAGGCATAGATGGGCTGAGTAATAATGTTCATATTTCAAACAAGAATCTATAGGATGTGGCTAAAGCAATTCTTGAAGGGAAAGTTTTAGCCCTAAATATTCATATTAACAAATAGGAAGAATGAAAATGTATGAATTAGGCATTAGGCTCAATATGGTGAACAGAACAGAAATGAAACTAAGAAAAACGGAAGTTATAAGAGAAGAAATGGGTGCATTAAGAAGTGAGATAATTAAAAAATGTACCCAAGTGCCAGATTTTTGAGGAGGCCTAAAAAAGGATGCTGTTAGTCAATTCTATCAAGAAAAAAGAAGAAAACATACATGAAAGTAAAAGTCTATGGGGAAAACAACCACAGAGACATAACAAGGCAAATAACCACAGGAAACTCGCACTGGGATGGAGAAATGATTTTGAGACTTTGAAAACATAGAAAACATCATTTATTTAAAAAAAAGACTCCAAAAGAGATGTCAAGTCTAAACAAATTGATTACCATAGAAGAAATAGAAAGTTGTCCAAGTCAACCTTTCCTTTAAAAAAAAAAAAAAAAAAAAAGGCATCAGGCCCAGAATGTTATATAGGAGGATCCAAACACACCAAAAAGGAACAGGTAATTAAACACTAGTTAAGCTGTCTAAAACATAAAAGAAGGAACGTGGTTTAACTTCTTTTTATGTAACAAGCATATCATTGATACCAATATCCATCAAAGGTGGTATGGAAAGATAAAACACACACCAGTATTGCTTGGGAACATTGATGTAAAAATATTAAATCCCTGAATTAAGCAGCACATTAGGGGAATAAATCATCACAACGACTGAGTGGAATGGATTTCAGAAATGCAAGGATGGTTGGATATCAGAAAAACAATTAGAAAAGAGGAAGAAATCAGAGCTTCAAACATTAAGAAGGAAAACTATTATTTGCAGAGACATGGAAGATTTTCTTGGAAAATGGAAGAGAGTCAACTGAAAGCAGTTACAAATGCTAATAA